CGATAACAAACTTAGGCTACAGATAGAACAATAAATTTATTATGAATAAAAGAGTGACCACGCCTGCAAGACTGAACCATGCCGTCCGACCAATTCGAATTCACTGAATTCGTTCCTCCCGCCTTCTCCATTGTTGGGTTTTTCTCCGCACTAAATGTTGAGTACCTATTTCCCCATTTGTCTCGTGTTCAACTTTGGTGATTATGTGGTTAGAGCCCAACGCAACTACAGATCTACCTCCTCTAAATAAAGCTCTGTAAGTCTCGCTTATTCCGCTGTCGTGATTATCTATGCAGTCTGGTTTCTGTTTCAGAACTTAATAACGGCTTTGAAGCTTTGTTGTTTTTGCATTAAGTTCCTTTACATTGTTTCTAATAGACCTGAAGAGTTGTATTCCAAACGAGGTATTTATATTCTGGTCCACTTCCGCAAAGCACTTAAAGCGTCCCGGATTAGTTGGGAAGTACTTAATCTTCGCCCTTTTTAATAACGCTATATGTCAGCCTCCGCAACATCACGTGAGACCTATAGGGTAAGGAGAGATTCTTCGTGAGCAGAGTAGCCGACTTAGACTGCTATACATATTACACAACCATCTGACTGGAGTATGTGATGATAACCTGTTGTGCAGATCTTACAGACGGTTTTTGCATTTATGTTTGCGCTACGGATGAGTTGTTAGAAATGACATTTTCCTTTTACTATTGGGCAACCCGTGAAATGTAGTTGATATTTATGTAGTGCGAAAGTTTTGTGTCTTGCCTGTAGTTGGGTTACTCTTATCCCTTCGTTTGAATGGCAGGGGACGACTTCAAACTTTTGGAAATGTGCAGTAATACAGTCTAATCACTCTTCCTAGACAGCCCTGGTCAGTTTAACAGCAAGAATCAGATGGATTGAGGTCGTAACATCTAATGTTAATTAGTCAAGAGTCCGGCAAAAATCTGACATCACAGTAGCGTGTTTCAGGTTTACTTACTTCCTCGTTTTTTATACATCAGATCTTCCATTCCTAATTTGTAGTGATGAGGTATTTGTTTGAATCTACTTAATCACTGTGTTGCGTAATAAGCATTGGGACCAGACGAATATGACTGTTCTGTGACTGACCGACAAAAAAAGAGAATAAAGATTTATGCCTAACAATATCATTGGGTGTTTGGCTAGCGATGTGTAACGCTAAGTCGATGGAAAGAGGCTGATAATAATATCTTGGACGAACATTTCTGTATGTTGCTCGAAAGATTCCCACTCGATTTCAAATGTTCTGGAACAAAGAGACACGATAATATTTGAAGCTTCAAAATGAAATCCACCTCACGTCACTAGCGAAGATTTGAAAAACGATTCACAAAAATGTCACTTGAAAAAAGTGCATATCACAAGTTCATATTACGTTTCTTGAGTAGGGTGTCCTGGTAATCAGAAGGTTGATGAAGGGCAAATGATGCAATTGATGATCATTCAAAGTTGTGGTGATACTAAAGAAGTGAAGAAGTAGTTGTTTTTATTTGCGACTTCACGCTTTTACACTAAGAATTTCATATGATCGCCCTTCGTATGCTTCTAACATTACCTTATCCACTAAATGGCAATCACTGCGTAATCAGGAACTGGGGAACTGAGATTTTTCGAAGGGTCTTAATTGAATGTGACTGAAATTATGGCGCATACTTGTGGTTACCGAAGATTATCAGCTGAACGGAATCATTTCCTGATTTGAACAGTTTAGCACTTGAATATACCACAGGTATTTGGAGTTTGACAGCGTTTTATCCAGTAACACCTACTATGAATAGTACCCACCTAGTGAAATCAAAAGTCAGAAGAGTGGAGGTTCGAAGATATATTTAATAAGCTATCAGTGTATCGAAAATCAACTGATCTAGACTGGCTAGTGATTGCAGGAAATGTTGAGCATGAAATCCGCACTCGTGATCTGGTACGGATGCATGACCGAGGACCTTCGGCCAGGTTAGTCCATTAAAACTAATGTGGTCGGTATCCAATGTCGAAGACTTACAGAGCTACTGATTTCGGAGATTTATTTTCCGCTACCCACTGATCCAAGAAACGATATGACAAATTTGAAAGTTATTTTCGTCACGCAATGTTGTATAAAGGCAGACCTTTTTAAACAATTCGTAACAACGTTGTTCCATATCTCTCATGTGACCTGATGTTTTATGTTCGACTGTTCGATTAACCAACAATTATTAGAGGAATAATGACTAGCAAAGATGATATCATGGTGAACACCTTCAAACACTCATATCTGTATGGTAAAAGATTTCGTATATTCTAGGTTCCCTGTTGTGATTTTGGGCGAAGTCTCTGGTTGGTGATAATGTTCACCATTTCTGACCATCGTTAACCCAATGGTCTTGTCTAAAATTTTCGTCGGTTACGCACCCCAGTCCAAGCATTTAAGAAACGAGATCAACAAGTATTTCTTGAATAGTTCTGTAGAAAATAATACAAAAGTAGTATTTGATACGGAAGCAGAACAGTAAGTATAGGTACAAAATGAAAATAAGCAAACCTGAAGATTGACTTCTCTGACATAAAAATGCAAAGGATATTAGCTCTTTACACGTCAACCTATTATCTACCAGATGCCTAAAACATAACATTGTGATAAAACTAGTTGATAAGTTTAAAATAAGTTCCTTTTAAGTCATGAACAAAGTTCAGCTACAAAAGTGATAAGACTAAAACTGTCCAACGTCCCTCAAGAACAAGTAATCACTGTAACTTAATGATCATGTTAGGTAAGGGAAAAATGTGTAGATAATTATCTGTTCGAATCGCTCATTCTCCTCTACTATTTGAGAAATTCTGTTTTCTTCCACTATGTAAAGAAACAAGCACGTGCTCCAATGAGAAGTGTCTACGTCTGACTTCACTAAGCCTCTAGAAAATCACCCATAAAACTAAGTTATTTCTACATTGGACAACAGATCATTAACCTCTAGAGTCTGTCAAGCAGTCTAGGTTAAGGATGGATAAGGCGAATTAGTTTTCGTGCTTGTGCGTCAGTGGTCCTGTCATGAACTTTTGCGAACTGATAGAACTCATATTCTGATTCCTACCAAGCATATTCGTTTAAAACACCTGGCTAGGAAGCAGACTCAACTAGTTATCAAGATGACATAATTTAGCTACAGTATTAAGTGTGAGGTATGACTTCGACGTGAACAAGGAGGTTACACCATTTCCACATGACACGAGTGGACTGTGACCTAGATTATTGATCGGCATCTCTAAAAGAACCAGGCACGTCTAGTATTAGTTAAGCGTGACTTTTTCCTATACGTAAATAAAAAATATTGAAACCCAGAGTACTAGAATATATCTGGCTTCCACTGAAACATATGTCGGAAACAACCAAAAAATGAAGAATTTTATCACTCAAACCAGAATACGGTATCGAAACGTTACACAATACAATTATACAACCAAAATTAACATCACTACACATTAACAGTAGTCTATTAAGTTTTAAAGAACAGGTTTGACAAAAGACCCTATAATTTCGATCATTTTTCTCTTCACTTTGTCTCACGAAAGATTATGACATTAAGAATACCTAACGAACCTAATTGAATGCCATCAAATTTGAAGAGTCATCGGCAGTCTCAGTATGTGAGGAACGTTAATGACTATACATAAATCATGAACTGTTAATTGTCGTCCTAAAAAGTTGGTCGAGCTATCTGTTGTTTTGAAACACAATCACGTTGGCTTCATCTTTATCCGAAATTAAAAAAACTACTGCCACACTGACGCGCGATAGCCACCAAAGGTTTTAGAACACTATGGTAAATACGTGGAGCCTTTAGCTATGTCAATGCAAAAACGTTGTGGATTTGTGTACAGTATTCATTTGTTCCAAACTCGAGTGTCATACATAATTAACTAGCCCTTGTCTTAAAGGAGACCGCGAGTCGTTGGAAAAGGTACAAGGAACCGCAAATAAGCTAATTACCGAGATAGTAAAGCCCGTGTATGATAATCGACTGGCTAAACTAAATCTATTTCCATTGTCATACATGAGACTCAGAGGTGGTTTGATCACAGTCCACTAATTACTTTGTGATAAATTTGCATATCATATACGCTCATTTTTCTTGCCTTCCAAACAAGAGAATTTGCAAGAACACACTAAAAACGTTTTATTTAGTTATTTATTTTAACACATAGATATTAGTACAAACAAGTACCAAATTCATATGTGCCACACAAATCTCATTCGATGTGTTTGAGGGCTGTGATACTACCCGGGTGCCCAAACCGAAGCAGGTGGTTTTCTTAGGGAGCCACACCTGGAGCCTTCGACCCACAGGTCTGATCTACAAGTCAGTGGAGCATCGTAAGGAGATGCAGTCCCATGGTAGCCAGTAACCAACGATTGGTTCATACGCCATTTGTTCCCTTAGAATACTGGAGTCCATGAGCACCATTGGTTTGGAATCCGGGTTTTCCAACTCCCCTAGGTGGACTCTCCATATCCACCAACCCGGTTAAAGCGCTGGACATTCGCTTTTTGTCCTCTCAATTTCGTAAACAACAGTAATGCCATGAGAAGGCAATGAGTAGGACTTCCCTGGTAGAGGTTATATATGCGTGACCATGTGAGAGCATTTGGATAGGGAGAGCGGACTCTTCCCACTCTCGGCCGTATCAGGGCATTTGGGGGCCAGATGAAATTACTTACTTGACTTTCTGATCGAACCATGAAAGTATGAAATTCGTTGCCTCAACACATGATTGGATTTGCTTAAAGAAAAGTGGATGAACTAAGAGATCACCATTGCCAGGACTAACACTTTTCCAGCCTCCTACCTTTTTGTCACTGATAGTGGAAATTAAATTTTATAAACCAAGATAAACTCACATGAAGTCATATAATATTCGGAGTATCATAGACTCTTGTATCAGCTACTTATTTTGAAAATGGTGTATTCTTAAGGGTATACTTTACGCTAGGTGTTTAAACATATCATTTAGTGTTGAACTATACAGCGGCGTTAATTTCTCACAAGGTCCCCAGCGGGCGTTGTGATTATAGTCCATTAGTTGTTATTGTGATCGTTGTTGTCTATTTATCAGGATTGAGTTTTTAGTCAGTAAAATTAATATTAAATCATGTACCTCGGCCAAACTTGATGTTCTCCCATAATGCTGCTACAAGTTAATATTTTGAGGAACTTCATGTAAGATATGAAAAGTGCTAGACAGTTTGTTTTTGATGGACTACCAGTGGAAAGCACTTCGAAAGCATGTACAAGTTCTTCAGAAGACAAGACGGTTGTGGATTTTGCTTCTCCAAGTAGTACCAACAGTAAAAGCTCCAGGGGGTTCTTTGAAGTAAGTTAAAATAGATCTCTTAATGATTTAAAGAATTTGTTTTACGTTCCCGCGTATTGTACAACGCTCCATTGGTGGTGGAGGTTAAAGTTTTTGCGTTTCGAAGAATTTGTTTGTGCACACCATTGGAAGGTTCTCAGTTCCATAGTAGTACTTAGTCTATTTTGTTTTGGCCTGAAAGCGGTTACTGTCGACACTAATTTTGACAAGCTGTGGATTGAAGGTAAGTCATGCTATGTCACATGGTTTATCGGTGATTTTACCCTATGTACTGTATTCAATGCTTGGCAAGTCATCGGATAATTCGTTTGTTTGTTGATTTTTGGGTCTATATCTACAGTTTAATTTGGTATGTTATGATTAACAATATCTGAATTTTCAAACGAAGATACTTGTTATAAGTTGTGGATTGTAATACCACTAGTGGTATTTTCCTGAGTAGTCTTAATTGTAGATATGACTGGAGATAAAGCAGCTGTGATTAGATGTATTTATAACCGTACCGCTACATGGTTCTTGTTGGGTTGTTCGTTACTCGTAAGCTTCTTTACATATTCAAGTTATGATGTGCAGTGTGTATTTAGCTAGATTATATCATTTAAATTTAAAAGCTTTGTATGACTATAATCAAACCATCGATTCCTCCTTAAAACCCCATGGGACAAAAATTTAGGAGTATATGTTGGTAATGGAGAAGAGAATAGAAAGTTCTAAAGGGTATCAGTGGTAGGACTTTTTCTCAAAATGTTGATGGCCTTTTAAAGTTCCACGAATTCAGCTTTCAACTTTGAGTAGTTGATTACGATGGCGTTTTTTAGTTCTTATTATGCTGCTTTAAGGCGAATTAATTTAGGTGGCAACTGGGACTTGCCAAAGGAAGGTATTTTGACGAGAGTTTAAGAGCAAATAACTTTTGTCAGCTTGACCTGAATAGTTTTTAGTCCGATAATTAAGTTCAGAAATTTTGATAAAGTTTCAATTTTTAGTAGGATTAGTACTGTTAGGGAGGGAGGTTATAGTAAATTACCCCATCACGACTTGCATCTGTCGAGTGCCTATTTTGTTTGCATGTGTTTTTTTGAGACTTCATTGCACACTAACTTATCACTTATACCTCACTGGGGTTATTGATCACCGTAACTTTTTGGACTTCAAGCGTGTGAATTATTGTGTTTTGTTGTTTTGGTGAGTCCTCGAGGCACATTGGTACCAAAAACGGAAGATATTTTGCTTGGATTTAACGTGCGTCAAATACATAGCATTTCCTTAGCATTGGTCTACAAGAGAAAAAGTTTGAGCTTATAAGTAATTTGTTTAAGCATGACGACCATTTCGTTTACCTGTGTTCTAGATTAATTATATAAATTAAATTCTAAACCTGTATGTGAAAGGTTTCTGACTTAATTGATGACTGAAGACTAGATCTATTACTTTCTTCGTTTTACCATACAACTTTCAAATGCTTTGTGAAACAGAACAGCATAGACATGTTACGTGCATTTGCTTTGTAGATCATGAAATTTATTTATTTGTGGTAGAATAAACGGATTAACGATGTTTAAACTGAATTTGGGCTTGGTAGAGAGGAGGAAAATTGTTTATCAAAACTGTGAACCTGTAATGATTGAAATACTTATTACTCGTATTGCCCATAGTCACTCAATTTCTCCATCGATTTCAAGTGATGAATAGAGTATAAATAATATGAAAAAAGCCATAAGATGGTAAGTTGAGATAAAACAAAGTATTTCTGAGCTGGATAAAGATTCACAATCTTATTTTCCGGTTCATCATCTTTGCCTAGTATCGTGTGTATAACCGTAACTTTACTTACTTCGTGGTCCTAATATACGCGAACAACGCTTCGAAGATACTTTATAATGCCCTCCGTGTGGCGCATATATATCTGGTGCCCCCTTGTACCAATATTTATGTGTTCAAATAAATAAATAAAAATCAATACCCTCTACTTTTAAAGGTCACGTTTCAAAACTATATGGTAAAACGAAAAGAACTGTTGCTCAGTATACTCACCTTTTCGCTGAATGGTGGATATTCATCCTTCTCCACAAGTGAAGCTAGTTGGTAAAAGATAACAGTTCTATGAACCCGTGATGGAATTTCACCAGCCATCAACACACCAGGGTTGATAAGACTTCCAACGGAAGTAAATTTGTCCATACACTTAGCTACTTCATTTGTTATCATTTGTTAGAGTTTGGTATATGCTAGTCCTCAAGCAATATTTTACTTTTAGAGGGGGGAATGCATCTAAAACATGCCTTTATTGTTAATCATGGCAACCAGAAAGCTCAGAATTTTGTCAATTTTCACCAAACAAGATTATATCATCCGCTTATTGTAAGCCGATAAGTAAACCTGATAGATCAATCCCTGGAAAGTCAGATATTGAAAGCGTTATCTGCAAAAGAATATTTGAAATAAAGTCAAACGAAGTTGGTGACTGTGGAAAACCTTAACGAACACTGCTTGGGGTTCGAAATTCCGATGACATTTCTCCATAATCTGAGACTCAACCAATAGTTTTCAAGTAAAGAACTTTCACACGGTTTATGTATTTTAGCACACGTTTTAACGCTAAACACTACCAAAAAACCTCCAGGTTGACATAGTCAAGAGAAACAACTGTTGTCTGGTCTGGTAGACATTCCTTTGTTCTAGGACCTGAAAAAGGGTAAATACTTAATCGGTGCATTCACATCCAGTTCTAAAATCAGCCTAGTTTTCCCGAGTTTGTTGTTTATGAGTCCTAGTTAAGCATTAAGGGATTATAGAGGCCAATATTTTGAAAACGACCATCTGTGATATAGCGTTTTCGTCATCCGAGCTTTACTCAGTGGGAGTGTTGACGGAGACAACAAAGACTAAACAGCGTGTGTCCCACTCTCCTAAGCGTTTACGATACCATTTGGTCGAACAGCATACAATCGACTGCCCATTGAAACCGAGCCCAGAAAATTATGTTTTGCTTTAGAGCTTATTGTTATATCTGCGTCAGTTAGATCATGATGCGCAGTAGTCAAGCTCTAAAATTTACTAAGAGTGAGTCGCATTGGTCCTCTGTATCGACTAGGTGAGGTCAAGTGAATAATCACACTTGTATCCTTAATGAGAGTTTTCAAGATTCCGTTTACATCAGTGGAACGGAATTTCAGAGTTCTAGTTAATGAAGCTTTACGTCCAATTCGGCATAGGGTTAGAACATTGATAGCCCCAAAATTCAGTTTAGGATGTGACTCCCGGACACCAGGAATAATACTTTGTGAAGTCCAATAGTTGTTATTAGTGTCGAGTGGGGAGAAAGCTGGAGTCATAGGAGTAAACTTGTTTGTAGTGAAGTAACAGAAGGATTCGATCGAGATTAAGATATCTTGTGCAGTAAGAGGCTTGATGATGGTTGCCTTTTCCTGGCTAACGACACCGTGGAAAAGTAATCCCTGAGGTACCTCTAAGGAAATACTGAACATTAGTTATCGTGCCGACTTGGACTCTGCCCAAGGAGAACACTGATGTAAGGGTAGGTAGTAAAAACTGGTGTTCGACCCGAAACACAACATCGGTCTTAGAAATCTGGCCGTTCTCTTTAGCTATATAAGGAAATGTTTTTTTGTTAAGTTTCCTCTGATAACTGAAGGCGGATTTTTCAGTTGATATGGCTGAGGGTTGGTTCCAGTAGAAAATATGCACCTATTTTGTGCGACTTTTGTCAGTGTTAATTTCATCGTTCCATGCCTTTTGTATTTCATTCTAATTGTTATCTATAAAGCTGCGGTTAAGTGCCTTTAAGATTTGACTATCACTTATTGTTGTTTCACCTACTTCGATTTTGGTAACATTTAGACGTCCATAAAATGAGTCATGGCACTATTTTTGATTCTTAAGTTACAGACACTTTATTTTCCCTAGTTTATTTCCTTCCACATTATTATTTCCAAATCTCCGAAAATCGAACCTCTTTTATTATTTTTAATCTCTCCAGTTTTGAAGCATCTAACTATTGTAGTAAATATGAGTATTTATCAGTTTTTTAAAATGCCTTATAAGTTATCCCAGGTTTTTCTGTATTGTTTTATTTTGTTATTTCTCAAATTTATTTATATGATATTTGAAGTGAGTATTATCCCATACATTTTATCCCCCCAATTCGTTCTTTTTTTCCGAATTCTCCGTCTCACCGTAAGTTCGCTACTGCCATCAGGGTTACCATTTTTACCGATTCTTTTCTCTTCTTGTTTTCCTCTCGCTGTGCCGATATAGCAGCATACTTCGATACAGATGTTTTTTTTCAAATCATTAAGTTATGATTCTTGCACTCGGTTTTTAACCACATTTGATCTGTGGTACTACCTGGCTACTCAAACGGAAGTGCATAAATGAGGTTTCAAGGATTCTACTCCGTTTAAAAAGTCACCTCTTTGTTTAAAATATATATGTCACCAAAGTATCGCATTCAGTATGACTGGTCCCTCTGCTCCTAGCTTGTCGGTTTCGAAGACACATATGGTTTCGTTCACTGTTTTCCTATCCGATTCACAGCTACGGGTAACAGTACTTTTCTTGTGCCTCGTAAAACTGTGTTGATATTTTGACTGAACAGGACTATACTCTTATCATAATTTCTGATAATAAGGATATGAAAGTAGATATACAAAGTGTTTGAACACTTCATTTTTGTTCTCCTATCGTGGGATCTATGTTCAAGTTGTTTCTTTTTTCAAAAATCTACTGAAATGCTATTCACCTCCAATAAATGGGAAAGTTTATCTAGTTTTATATAAAAAATAGTGACTAATCAATCAGACAGTAAAACTGTTAGCATTCTTATAAGCTTTTGGTGATATAAGAACTACTGACCCAACTGAAATTCACAGATATCTGATATTTGTTTACCTCTTAAAAGAACGTATTCATAATAATCTAGTAAAATAGGACAGCTCACTTCGTACTGGCAAGTTTAGTGATGTTCTAGCTACTAGAAAGATCTAAATAGTAGATAGTCGATTATAGTCACCGTTGAACCCTATTCAATTATCGACTGGTTCAAGCTGTAACATCCCACATCAGTACAGCGAGAGAGGAAGTTAACAAAATGAGAAACAAAGGTGGGAAATCAGTGTCTATTACGATGAAAAGCTAAGAATCAAAATATGGTTGAGGAATGTTTCATATTTAAGATCAGCCTCCTTTGAGTGAATGTTAGAA